GGAATGATTTTTTTCTCTGCTATTATATGTTTTTAATTTAAAAAGATATAACAAATGTATTTAGTGTGATTGATTATAATGTTTGCTTATTTAAAGTGGTCATGGTTCGAATTGTGGGCTTTGCCAGATGATCGACCATTCCTTTGCCTCTCCCAGCTAGGGATGGCAATCAAACTCATGGCCGCGGGTACCCGACCGCCCCCGACCCAGTCAACGCGGGGAATCCCCGCTTTGACCGGGTATGGGTAAAACCCGCAAAAAGTTTGATGGGTATGGGGCGGGTATGGTTTTAGCCTCCCCGCCCCATACCCATACTCATACCCGCCCCACCAAGAGAATTTCTTCACATATAAAAAAATATGTGGATTAAATTATAATCTATCAATGATGATGATGATTATAACTCGAGAAAATAAATAGTAGAAATGCAATTGAGTAACCACCTTAATCAAAACCTAATTCATTTCCCTCAATTCTCCTTCCACTCTTTCACTTTCCCCCTTGTCAACAAGATTATGTTAGTTAATTATTACTTAGTAAATGTATCAAGAGTTAGAGCATAATAATTTAAAAAATATTGTAGTCTATAATATGTATTAATGGATGTTTTAGGATCATATTCTTTGAATCGTATTTATAAAATGACCGTGTTTTGTTGACTTCATGATATAATAGGTTTGTTTATGGTTATAATTAAAACTTTTCTCGTAAATTTTAGGTATAATAATCTAGATAATAAATAAAAGCCGAATGATGAAAACTGTTGCTCCATTTCAAATTTCCTGCAACGAGAGTGATTATAGGAAGGGCATTTTGGTCTTCACAATTGCTTATTTTCTTATTTATTTATTCATAAAAAAGGCATGCACTGGGATTTGAACCTTGGTCTCTTTAAAGGAAAGCAAGGATCATAACCAATCACACTAAGTATATTTGTTGTATCTATTTAAATTCAAACATACACGAACCTAAATTATGAAAATCATATGACTTTTTTAACGATTAGTTGGCCACTGAATCTCCCGTAAGTACTTATTTGGTGTTTTAATACTTTGATTATTTTAGTTGTAGTTTAATACTTAATTTAAATTTCTATCTATTTTATAAATATACAATAACCCTAAAATTGCAGCCCAAATATCACTGGTTCGGATATTGCATATCGAATTACAATATTAAACATGTAGAAGCAATATCGACTTCTTAAATTAATATTATTTTTCAGAATTACTATGGAGAAATTATATCTTTGTGCAAACTATATGAGACTGGTTCTTTTAATATTTTAGTCGGGATAACCGCTACATTTTAAACTTCTTCATAATCTGGCATGATTGGATCCAATGATTATTATACAAGATTGTGTTTAATAGGGTGGCTCATTTCACCACTTTTTGGCGTGTTAATGAATTTGTAGGACAATGACAGGTCTACATCTACACTCATCACAATCTACACATCATATAAATGTGAAATGAGAAAAGAGGGATTCCATTTCAAATTTGATGCATACAGAGCAATTTTTTAGGGGTAAATTTAGAAGATGCCAGTGCGGTCGGTCTGTTGAGCACGAAAGTAAAAATATGTTTTCATTTAAACGGGCCCAAACTGTTATTTGGCCCACTAATCGTGCACCCATAGCCAATGCAGTCAAATTCGGGATTTTGATCATAAAATCGTAGGATTTTAGGATTTTACTTAGGGATTCCGATCTTGATTTTACTATATAATCGGTGGACCTTAAAATCGTTTAAAATCGGGACTAAAATTGTTAAAATCGTAAAATAGTATCGAAATCGGGATTTGATCGTAAGAGAACAAAATAGGTGGTTTGAGCCAATTTAAAATAAGTATAACTGTTTCAGCGGAAAGGGCAATGGAATCTTCTCAGATATTTTTCTATTAGAAAAATATTCAAAAATAATAAAAATAACCAAATTAGGGTTCGGTTAATCTCTTTCCCTTCACCCCATTTAACTTATTGGTAAAACACCTGTCCTAATATTGGAAGTATGTAAGAACTAACATCATTATTAACTAATTAATTTATTAATGAATATATTTGTACCAACCCACTAACATTACTTATTTTATTGGAGTTCAATTATTTTTAGTTTTAAATCATACTTAGTAGACGATGTCGAAATATTACTTTGAGTTAAACAACCTAGACATAACATGAAAATAAGAGCCAAACTCATAAAATATATCTCTTCATCATGAATTATTTTGAGTTACACATTAAATAACAATTAAAATAGTAATTTTGGAACATTAATCTTGAGAATTATCTTATGGAAAAAAAATCTTCTGAATTATCATTTTAAATGCTATGTGTCTTTGTGATATTAATAATTTACCTTATTAATATTCTTATATGCTATGTTCTATATGGTACTTAAAATCCTACGATTTTACGATTCGATTATACGATTTTGATTTTACCCATCGCAGCCTCTCCAAATCTTCCTATTCTACTCGCCGGGTCATCTCCTCCACTACAAAATATCTCCTCATGTACTCAAAGTTCTCACTGAAACCTAATATCTACAACTTAGGCGCAGAGGGAGCAACCGATGGATTGTAGCGACCCCCACTATTTTGATAGCTAATCAAGAAGAGCGCGTTTGTTTAGTTGTATGGTGATTCACTTAATTAACAATTTTAATTCCGTTGACAGCCTCCTCTCCGCAATTGTATTGTGTTCACGAAGATCTGAAGGCGCAAGTGCAACAGGTCCAGGGGTAAACAATATGTATAAAGCGTTGGCCAAATTGAATTGAGTCATTCTACTTGGAATATGAAGATTTTTTCTTAATTGCTTTGGTTCGTGATGCAACTATGTTATGTTTGAAGGTAGACCAACACAAACAACAGCACAGCTCCAGGGCTATTCTGCACATTAGGTAGTTGGGGTATTAATTGATAATTATTTGGGATTATTCCTACAAGTACATAATTTGGAACGTGCCTTTATATTGCATTGATTAATAGTTGTTTGAGATTTTTCAAATGAGTGATTTGACATGTTAAACTCTCTTATTTTTGAAAATGGAGTCTTCGAAGTGGAATATGAAGATTTTGGATTAAGCTTGGTTTCGTAACGCCCTTATGGGTGTTTATTCTCTAAAATGCAGCTGTCTTTCAAAGTGCCCGTTGCAAATGGCAAGTCAGGATACAACGATGGTACCGGTACACATTTATATCATTAGTAGGTAGCAGATTGTGTCCATTCTGTGTGGGCTTTTTCTTTGTTTGACTTTTTCTCGCCTTTTTTCTTATCTCTTTTTCTATTTTTGGTTTTTGTGTGCTACCTTCAGTTGCTACGTCTTCATTTGTGAGCCATCTATACTTTTCTTAATCAGTGCCTAAAAATCATATATACTCGATTGCATAGTAGTTACTAATAGATACATTTATACCAATAGAGAGATTTTAAGTTTTATCAGTTGTTAGTTTTAATATTTACTTACATTGGTTGTTTATGTAGTTTTCTTTGTAATATTTCTCATTATACAACTAATTACTATGGCTACGTAGTTGTATAAGTGGGGGTTGGACATGATAGTTCTTAGAAGCATCAATACTTGAAAGTTATTATAATGACCAAATTCTAAAGTTATGGTTTGCCTTCAACTTGCTTGGAGCATTTCAATTATGCATCAATTGTTCTCTCCGTGTAGTTAACTCTCAGACAAATCGAAAATCTTGCTGATATGTGCTTGATTGTAGTTAAATTTAGGGTTTTACTGCATTGTTGCTTTACTCTTTTTTCGTGGTTGAGTCTGCTTCAAAAAATTTAGTTTGATTTTAGAAAATTTTGCTTCTGCAGTCCTGTCTTGCCACCAACGCGTTCAATAGATGGACACGGGAGAGGCGAAGGCTATTTTTGTGTTGTTGTTGCTGGTTTAGGGATCGGTTTGTGAAGAAGAGGGAGAAGAGAGGGGGAAAGGGAAATGCAGGAGAGGGGGATAACTCTTTTCTCCGACAAAAATGGAGTGAAGAAAGGAATTATGATCAGTAAGAATATGGTTATCTTACATAACGGTCTCTATTCTGTTTGAATTGAGCTTGAGAGGCAGTGATAAGGACGAGCTGCAACCAATTCATAGTGAGAAGAGAGCTATGAACTGTGATCATGTCTTATTTCAAGTTAGAAGGTAGTTTCAGTATAAGGATTATTTAATTTGACAAGTTGTTTCGTCCATGATTCTTGGTAGTTTCAGTGCCATTCTAGCCAATGTTTAGTCTGTAATTTTTGAGAATTGATGTGCGAGTAATGACTTTCACTTAGCTTCAACTATTATGTGTGTATTTATTGGCATGTGATAGAATTCTCTTTTCCTTTTCATTGAATTCATTTTCATACTCTAATTGTATTATTTGTACATAGGCAAATCATGCTCGAGATGGCAACTCGCTGATATGGCTGATGTAAGGAATGAAGCCATCATTAGAATTCAGACCGACAACGGGGAGGGATGCCCAGGACTAATTCAATGATGATTGATGATGGTATAATAAAAACTGCAGTCTGCATCAGCACCAATTTCTAGGCCTAAGTAAAGGTATTCAACCCAGAACTCTGCTTAGCGCTAAAAATTGCCCTCACCCAACCTTGATCCTGTTTGACCCACTTCTGAAGAGTCAAGATATATGACTAATCCTCCCCGTTCGTATTTTCTTATTGACTCTTTCTGACCCTGTAGGTTGGGGCGGGTCGGGAAGAATTGGATTAGTGGGTCGGTCCTAATCAAGTGGAATCCCAATCCCTTCACTCTCACTTGCTTTCTCTCCCATTCCACAAGTAGGTAACATACAGTAATCCGGCCAACGGGCCGGGTAATAAGCTAGTATTGGATATACGGGGATGAGTATTACCCATAGGTACCCGAAACCTACGGGTGTGGGAATGATTTTGCAAAACATTTCCCGTATGGATATAAGGCGGGTATGGGTTTGAGTATTTGAAAATGGGAATGGTTTAGGCAAACCCACCCAAACCCGCCATTGCCATCTCCCCAGCTCGATAAACCTTTCCTGGGGACTCGGTTGATCCCTCAATAAAAAACTCCGCAAACTTGCTCGCAATCTATCTCACCTCTGTCTCAAAGAAACCCCACCCTTTATCGGCTTGATATCAGGTATTGCATCCCTTCCTAGGGTGTCGTCGCGAAATCCCAGTTTCAGAAATCTGATGCCCTGCTCCCAATCCCCTCCTCCGTCTTGCTTGTTAAATCCTAGGTAACTGACTTCACAAGCTCAATTCATTACTACCTTTGTACATCAGGTTGGAACTCTCAGTGTGTGTGCGTTCTATCCTTTGGTAATGCTATTAGGTTTTGTCTATTGGTATGCCTTCGGTTGATCCTCAGATTTGTTGTTTGATTTATTGACGAAAACTTCAGTAAGATACTGTTAATTTGATTATTTCCATTGCTTTTCCACTTCTATTTGATTATGGACCTTACTTCTATTCTCTTGGTCATCTGTTACTGTCACCTGCCCTGCAATCGTTCCCAAGTGCTTGCAAGGAATCAACTTTATCACAAATTGAAGCTACGTTTACTCTTTTACTGAGTGACCTCTTTTCAACGTTTCACCTCCATGTTACTAGCTTTTAAATGTGTTTGTTCTAGTATCATTTCCCAGTTGGGTCATCTCAGGGTATTCCTATTCAAACTGTTTAGCATTTGCCCCGTTTTCCACCTTCCAGGCTCATTGTTGCAATGAGAATCCATTGGCCTGGACTAAGTTGAAGTGTTCTTATTAATTTCCCTGCTTTTGACTAGAGTGCTTTATCTACTGTTTTGCTACAAGATTAGATATTGATTGCTTTGTTCTTTTGTGGTCTTTCTCAGTTTTGCCTTAAGCTTTGTGGGTCAGTTGGTATGACGTTAAACAAACAGATTAGAATTCTTTCTCGTAGATAATAATTACCGTGGCCCTTTTAGGATGATACAGCCATTAGATCCTATAGCTGCTATTGAGACTCTCCTCGAGTGCCCACAGTGATGGAGGTTTTTCAACTGAAGTTAAACTTTAAGCTAGCCCATGTCAGGTGAACAGATTTTCATCTTAACTTCTTTTTATAAAGCTCTACAACCCTTTTTTTAGATATTCAGTGGTTCGTTGTCGGTGCTGGAGTGAAGAAGTCGCAATCTCCCATCGAGGGACCCGACTCCGCTCTCTTCTTACACACAGTGGTTATTCATTAGCATTCTTTCATTCTTCTAATCAAAAGCTGGGAACTCCCAAAAACAATCCATATGTGTGGACTATTTCAATGCAGTTGTGTTGTGCTATGTTTGAAACATTACTGCCATTCCATTTTCCTTTGTCATTATTTATGGGATCGGGGAACTTAGCAGCCGCTGGTAGAGTTAGGTTGTGATTAAGATGTCTTACTTTTTCCTGGGCGGTGTATGTTTTTGGTTGGGATCTCTCACCCTCTTATTTTTGTTTTTATAACTCTTCACTTCTCAATTTGGTTGTATCATGTATGTATTGAGTCGAAGCGGAGCGGGGCCATTCGAACATGTCGATTTCTAAATTCGATTAATAATAAGTAGATTGGTCAACTAGTACTTGAATCTTTGTTAGAGTTCCTATTTTGATTTGTGTTAAGAGCTCATCGTGTACAGGATATTGTTAGAGTTCTATAATAGAGAGGGAGAATAGGAGACAAGGAATGAAGCCATGGCATGCACATGGTCGGAAGAAGGTCCTGTGTGCAGGGGAAAAAAAGTTACACGGATGGCTAGAGCAGCTGCTGCGATTGAGAAAGTGACAGAGAAGAGTGGGGTAATTTCACAAGCTGGTATGCTTTTTCCTACTCTAATTTAAATGGTATGTGGTTTGTTCTACGTCGCCCAGTTGGAGCTGGAGATAAAAGTGTGCTTTGTTGAGACCAGATTTGTGCTCATATTTAACATGTTTGTCAGTAATTATTGAACGTGTACAAACATTTGATTCGTTGGAATTCTACATTTTAATGAAAATACACGATATAAGATGGTTGATTAATTTGTCCTCGGTTCAAATCACATTCTTATTGTTGGACTTGAGCTGTTCAGCATCATGCATGTCCTTGTATTCATGCAGACATTAAAGAATTTCGCGTTTTTCAACCTCGTTTACAGTTCATTCACATTTCACTGTCAATGAAGTTTGGCAGAGCATAGGACAGGGCCAGTCGGCCAGAGAAAAACGAAACCCATTTGCTTGGCATTCTGCAATTATTAACATTATAAAGGGAAAAAGTCAGAACTTATACAACACGCATTAAATGTTGCCAGTCGTGCAATGTTGTTGAAAAGGATTGGGAATATCCAAGTTGGAACAAGTAAACAAAGTAGTCGAGGTTTGGGTTGGATCAATGGATAATTTGTTCACTCCAGATTGAGAAAGTATTATTATTGTGGCTGTCTTTCCTCGGGAAATTATGGCATAATAATCAAAAGGGCAGTGTCGTCACTTCAGCTCCCAGCAACTTACATACAGGCAGTCAGCAGCATCTCTCTCTTGGTCTTGGGGTCTTTGGCTAGAGTGTTTATGAGAAAGAAAAAACAATTCTGTCAGAAGGACATCAATGCTCTACATAGCTCTTGGCAGAAGGGGAAAAAATAGCTCTAGATAGCTTTGTTGAGTATAGAAATGGCTCCTTCTCTCTTCACTGCAATCTTCCTCCTCTCATTTGCTTTCTTACCATTCCATACTTATTCTTCTTCTTTTGTTGCTTCTCATTTGGAGGCTGATATTGGTACAAGTAATCAGTCTTCATTCGCTCCTTCTGATCAGAAAGTGAATCTCTCGGTCTACTACGAATCACTCTGTCCAGCTTGTGCTCAGTTCATAGTTCAGAACCTGCTCACCATCTTCAACAATGGCCTCATTGACATAGTCAATCTCAGGCTAATACCTTGGGGAAATGCTCGTTTCATTGGAATGAACAACACCATCATTTGCCAGGTTCTTTCATTCATGTCCCTCTCTCATTTAGAAAGTTCAGATTGATTAGCCAGGAATGTCAGCCAGCAACCTTTTTGCCAATCGGGTTCGATTATATGAACTATTCTAATTCGAGAAACATATGAGTCTGACGAACTGTTTTGCAGAACGGTCACGAAGAATGCCAGCTGAATACTGTACAAGCTTGTTCCATCGACATTTTGCATGATGTGGTATTGGTTATGACTCTGATTCAATTCAATTCAGTTCAGTTCAGAAAAGCTTTTTCTACCGTGACAACTTTCTGCCAATGAAACTGAACGAGCTCTCTGTGTTGCAGGACAAAAGCTATGCTCTGATCTCATGCATGGAGCTGTTCGTGATCGAGGGGAAGCATAACAGTTGGCACGAATGTTTCGAGTCGCTGGGATTGTCTGACCAACGTATTGTTGACTGTTACAACAGTGCCAATGGAACCAAGGTCCTATTGTCTTACATTCACATTCCTTCAGCTTAGACAGAATCCAACACAATATTGACTTGGAGAAAGTTCTTTTTGTGTTGCAGCTTGATGTTTTGCTTAGCCAGGAAACTTCAAGTCTCGTCCCACCGCCCACGTTTGTGCCGTGGATCGTTGTCAATAAGTTGTCCATTGGAAAGGATTACGGGAATTTCACTGTCTATGTGTGTAATGAATATAAAGGGCAGCCTGCACCAGCGGCCTGCAATTCGCTGCCACCACAAGGGAGCAAAGTTGCAGTATCGAATTTGGACAATCTTCAAGCCTGCCATAAGAAGGAAGCCATGAACTTGACATCCCTGGACCGGTTAAGAGAGTGACGAAGTTGAGGAACTCAAAGGAACCTCCAGAAGGGTTCAAATAGAACATGAGGATATAGTATAGCCTGTGAAACTGATACTTAAATTGTTTCTGTATCTATATAAATAATTAATTGGGATGAAGGATAAGTTATGGCGTTTTTGTGACCTTAAAGGCTGAATCTTCCTTACTAATGGAATTTTGGGAGCCTCTTCTCCTTTTTCTCATCTAAATGATTCAGAACGACCAGAGATGATTAGTATTTTAGCATTAGACTAACATACTTTTGACGTTAGATTCTCGTCCACTCTTGCTACTTTCTACTAGAAAAGCAGAAGAGTAGACTTGCATCAAAGAGAGACACATTTCCCTCTCTCATCGTTTTTCTCCTTCCGTGATGACCGTTGGGCTGAGCCCTCTACATCGGAGGCCAATCGCAACCTTAATTTGCCGGACGGATCCGCTTCATTTTCCCTGCTCCAACATAGCAAGAAAGCTTAAGCAAGCATCAATTAAGGTTCTCTAGCCAAGGAGAAAAGGAGTTCGCAGTCGTGACTGCAAAAGCCTAATACGAAGAGATGAGCCACAACTCTTACAATGTCTTCTCAAGTACAAAGTACAAACATAACATGGACACCAAACCAACCCTAAAAGAATCTTTACTGCATCGTACTCAAATTTAACACTGATATTACAGAACGAAAGAGACAACGAGATGAAGCTTTTCTGAAAATAGCTGATCACAAAGCAACATATAAGTGAAAAGAGGGGAGCGGGGAAGGACCCTGGGATATTACACATACGTTAAGAATTGTAGGTTTCATGATCATTGGTTCTTTCGAACTAATAACTACAATAACATAATTTGGTACAGGAAAGGTGTTAGTAACACATACACACAATCTCTCTGGAACCAGATCAGCAGGAAACAGATCGGAGGGCTCTGAAGGAACCGATAGGATGTTCGATTGCCTATCGGTGATTTATCAACTTCCAAATGCTCTCACAAGTTTCAAATGGAGTTGATTCTGTTGGGTCGAGCTCAAACTTCTCAACCATCCTCTTATCCCGGTCTACTATATCTACAGCTGGAATTAAGGAAACCCACTCCCAAGCATGTTACAAAACATATCAGACAAGTTTTTGAAGGCAAAAAGAAACAAAGCCATATACATTTAGCTCCAAAAGACAAGGATACGGCCTGAGATTGTGGAACGGTTGTCCAAGTCTGGAATGATATTCGTAACAGAAGCATACATAGAAAGCTTCTTCCTGCAGATGTCAAACCAAAAATATGCTTCAATTCCTGGTGAGTAAAGAGAGAAACAGAAATCAAAGAGTACATTTTTCACAGATTGACTTCATACGAGTCGTATCAACTACTCACTGTGCCCTCAACTCTTCGCGATCCAGTTTCTTTCTCAGTTGAATTTGCTCGTCAATGGAAACCCTTTGCCGTTCTAAACTGCTGATCTGATTGTTGATCACTGTGTTTGACAGAATTAGGAAACAAAAACCAATCAATCGAAGGGAACACAAATGCTTCGTACACTCAACCATCGATTTCATATAACCACAGATGCACTTATCTGAGATCCTCTCGTAAAGCACGTTCCTCGTTTAATTCAGCTTCCAACTCCTTCTGGAGAAGGCCTATCTCCGCGTCATCACACTCCTCCAGTTTTGCCTTTGCTGTCTTCTGCTTGCATTCCTCAATCTTTTTCTCATAATCTGAACAAGAATTAGTGTTCTCTTCGGGTCAACACAAAATTGGTTTCCAGATTCGAGTCAGCCTCAAGGGATTAATTCCCTAGATTTTTGCCCGAAGGAAGAAAAATTATACAAAACATACTGAAAGTAGCTCCTTTTGCCAATCATGAATCGGGAAATGCACAGCAGAGCAAGGCAACAGTTCAAAATTCACTGGGCAAGATATTTTATGGGAGAAAAGGGGGACCTTGGAGCTGGGTGTGAACCTCGTCGAATTCTGCCTCAGAAAAGGTGCGAAGAGCTGTCGACTCGTCAAGACACTGGGATAAGGAATCGATGCTGGTTTGCTTCTTCAACACCGCCACCAAATCGTCGCTAAATGAAATTAATTTCACCAGATCGGTTTCCCCAAGTAAACCCGCCATCTCTGCTGGAAATGCACAGCAGCTCGAAGAAGGTACCCTGGTTTTGGCTGACTTAGGGTTTATGTCTTTGCTCCTGCTCCCCGAACCTAAAGCCAAGAAGCTGAAAGAATTTTGGTCGAGTGATCCAAGTTCCCGACGGGGTAGACCTTGATTGCGAGAACGCCGCTGGTTTCGGGACTTGGATTCTGGTGGAGTAAGCTGCGGATTCTGGTGTGGAGAGTGTATGTTTCAGACTCGAAAGGTAAGAGAGGGAAAGCAAAACACTCGAAATCTCGAAGAGAATATTGAATAATGAATAGAATACGCCATTTTTCCCTCATATTTCACTATCCTCAAATTTTCACACCTCTAAATTTTCCTTCCCCTCCCCAATTTTCTCCCCTCTTTTGTGTATAGAGCTTTTGAACACCAATTTACCATCATTATTTCACTATCTTCAAATTTTCACTCTCTCCAAAAAAAATTCTTCCTCTTCCATGAACATAGGGTAATGGATTGCAGTAAAATATATGATGAACTAAACCGTACAAAATCGCTAATATATGTGGTTTGGTTTGACCTCATCAATAACATTGCAATCGAACATGCAAGTGCGACCCTTTTTTTTATGAATCGGTATACTTTCATATCATCAAAAAGTGGTGCTGACAACAGCCTTGCCAGCTAGGGGGGAATGGAACCTGAAGAAAAGACCCAGCAATACAACCTACCAACAGTAACCAAACTTACAAGGAAAGAACTTATTTCTATATATAAAACCCTAATAGTGTAAAACTACCAAAGAATAACCAAATAAACAGAGCAGTCCCGGGTAAGAGACCAGGCAAACTAGGGATCAGGGGGCCAAAAACGTTCAATCTCCTTTGAGTCCTGCACCAACACTCGAACTTCACTCTTTACCATAGACTGCCAAATCAATCTTCCTGTCATTACACACAACGAATTTACTCCAAACTTCCGAATAGCCCAGTCAAGGTTCTCCTCCCACGTTTGCGGCAAGAAAGAACAAACTTTCCCCAGCAGCAGTTGATGGATAGAAGAATAATAGGGACAGACAGAGAACAAGTGCTCTCTTGTCTCATCTGGCTGATCACAGAGAAGACAATGATCTGAACCAGCAAATCCCCATTTTTTCATCTTGTCTTTTGTTTGTATCTTGTTACGAATAATAAGCCAGACAAGAAACTTGTTTCTAGGGATAGTAGTCCCCTTCCAGAGAAGCTTATACCATCTTACTTCATTTTGCTTTGGCCTAACAACTTCCCAGATCAACTTTATAGAGTACCTTGGCATAGCATTATTATTCCAGAGAAGCAAGCCATTGTTAAAGCTAAATAGGTTAGGGACCTTACTTCGAAGTATCAACAGCTTCTTCCAGTTCCAGGAACCATTCACATTCACAGCCCAAAAATCCCTACCTTTCAACTTATATTCCTGAATCCAGACTACCCACAGTGAGCCATGTTGCAGCATTATCGCCCAAATCTGCCTAAAGACATAAGCAAAGTTCCAGGTAGTGAGATCCCTCAGTCCCAATCCACCTTCTTTCTTCGGTATAGATAGGTACTTCCAAGCCATTTTCGCTTTAAGCTTAAGCCCAGGACCAACAGACCAGAGGAAGTTACTACAGATTCTCTCAACCTCGCGAATAACAGTTTTGGGAAGCATGAAGACACTCATCCAATATTGTGTCATACTATACAGGACATAGCCAACTAATTCCCCCCTGCCAACATAATTGAGAGACTTTGCCTTCCATCCCTGCACCCTACTTGTGATTCTTTCTATGAGAGGCCTGCAAGCATTAACTATGAGCTTCCCAGCCACTAGAGGTACTCCTAGTCCTAGATAACTCACTGGGAAACCACCCAACTGATAACCATATCTACTAGCACGAGCCACCATCTCTTCCTTCTCTAACCCTCCAAAGAAAATTTCACATTTACTAGGATTATACTGGAGCCCAGAGAGCTTGTGGAATACACTCAATACCCTCTGCACACTCTGAATACCATAATTTGACCCATCAGAGAAGACTAAAAGGTCATCAGCAAAACATAAGTGAGTCAATCCAATTTTCTTACACATTGGGTGATAAGGAAATCTCCCCTTCTCAGCTTCCAGATCCAATAGACAGGAAAAAACCTCCATAGCAACAACAAACAAATATGGGGAGAGAGGGTCTCCATGCCTCAAACCTTGTTTTGCAAGAAAGTATCCCACTAAGCCCCCATTAAAAGCAATACTCAACATAGGACTTGTGACACACATCTTTATCCAATTAATAAACTGACTAGATACCCCCATGGCTTCAAGCACAACAAAAAAGAAATTGCCAATTCATAGAGTCAAACGCTTTCATAAGATCAACCTTCAACGCTGACCTAGTGGAAATGTTCTTTCTAGAATACTTATGCACTAGCTCATGAGCCAGGAGAATATTCTCCCCAATGACCCTCCCTTTCACAAAACAGTCTGGTTTTTACTAATTACTAGGGGCAGGAGGGAACTAAATCTATTCGCCACAATCTTTGATATGCATTTATACACTATATTGCAGTAAGAAATAGGCCTAAAAAACTTCATCTCATCTGGGTTTTGGACCTTAGGAATTAGAGCAAGGATAGTAGCATTTACCTCTCTTGGAATCTTCCCAGTCACAAAACAATTCTGAATGGCTCTTGTAATTTCAGCCCTAATAACCCCCCAAGATGCTTGGAAGAATCTTGCATTATATCCATCCGGGGCTGGACTCTTATCTCCATTAAAACTGAACATAACATCTTTTACCTCACTAGCAGCGATATGAGCACTGAGAGAAGATACCTGCTCAGAATTGATCTTGTGCCTTAGCAAACCCTTAAAAAAATCCATTGATTCTATCTCAACATGTGGATTCTCTCTCCCCAGCAGAAGCATATAAAAATCGATAGCCACTTGACACATACCTTCAACTGAAGTGACTGAGCTCCCCTGAGCATCCTTAAGAGAAGTTATTGTATTCCTTTTGAGTCTAGTTCTCATAGAGCGATGGAAGTAACCAGAATTTGTGTCTCCCACCTTTAGCCACAACTCTCTAGATTTCTGCCTTAGAAAGCTTTCCTTCGCTTTAATCAGGTCAAACAGTTCTTTAGAAACCCGTACCTCAACCTCAAAACTCATTTGCGAAGGACTTGAAAGGGCATCCAGCTGAATGGATTCTAGTTCTTTCTCTTTTTCCCTTACTCTTCCCCTTATGTCAGAGAATCCCTCTTTATTGAGCTTCTTGAGTAGACCTTTGAGTATCCTTAGTTTCTTGTAAATCCTTATCAAAAGAGGACCTTCCACAACTTCAGTCCAAGCCTGAGCAAGTAACCCCTCATACATTGGATGCTCTAGCCAGAAATTGAAAAATTTAAATGGCTTAGGCAATGACTTAAGAGGGAAGTGCGACCCAATTGAAATATGGTCGGAGCAAATTATATCAAATATGGTACAGTACGATCCAAACGACATCAATTCTCATCTTTAATTTAGAATACACTTGTATCCATGAATCTGTACACTATGCTTGGGGGTAAACACAAGTTTCAAGGTGTTTACCCCTGTTTGGTTATTTTTTAATAGTAAGGGGGTACAAAACGGGAGTGCAAATTCACTATTTCGGCTTACCCTCCGAATTGGGGTGCAAGGGAAGAAAGGAAAGAAGGGAAGGGAGGAAATTAAGGATTTTTTTAATTATATTACAATTATATAATAATTCATATTATTAACCTTTTCTTATAGCTATCATTAATGTAAACGTTGTTTGGGGTTGACCGTTTGACTTCGATAGCAAGTTTGTCAATGTTCGTCTAGTCAAATCGATATCTCTTGGTTGACTCGAATTTGCATTGAAAATTAGAGATAAGATAAGAAGCATTTGTGGAAAAGATAGAGATGACCGGTTTAGTTGACTCAGTTTACTTGACTAAATAGTTAAAACTTACAAATTTGAACTTGTTTGACTAAGTTTGGCCATATTCAATTTGAAGTTAGGCACGAGAACCCCCTTAGGATGACCAGTTACGAGTTGTATTTCGAGTTTCGAGGTCGCTTGACCAATGATTATTAGTGTTGTTATAATGAATTATTATTTGATTATTATTATATAATAATTATTTCATTATAGTATAACTATTCTTATTATAATATAATTATTAGTATATATTAATTTTTATTTATACTATTTTGTGATAATATTTTATAAATTTGATAAATCTATTTTATAATAATATAATTACTTACTTGTCACTCTATTTGCACCCCTACCTTTTCATCCAAACAAAAATTTACCCCACCACTAGCACCCCTACCAAGTTGCACCCCCAGCAATTTAGCCATTAACTTGCACCCTCTCGAACTTGCACACTCCTTAACCCCTTGTTGCCAAACATAGTTATGGGGTCGTTTGGATGGAACATTTTCAAAATGAGGTAATTTGGAACAAATGTCTCAATTCAGGATATGAGTCAATTACATGAGAAATTTGTATAGAATTGTCTTGTTTGGCTTGTTATTTTGACATGAGACAATTGAGATGGAGCAATTTCCGAAAATACATATATGCCCTCATTATTTTACCCTTTTCCATTTTCTTTCTTTTCCATCTTCCTCTTGACGATAACAACAGTACAACACCATAATTAATATCAACAATGGCGAAATCCTTACCAGAAATTTAAGGGTCCAAAAATCTTTTGCTTGAGTAATTACAATCAGCAAGCCAATATTTTAATTCGAACGCTAACAAGTAACAAACCACAATCAAATAATTTGAGATTTAGAGGAAGAAAAAAAGCTAGTTGAGTTGGGATCAAATAATCGAATGGGTATCAAAACAATCCCCTGAGTCATGGATATCATGGCGCACCCGATCTGTCGTCTACAAATTTCCCGTCCCGTCAAAGATGAGGAAGAAGTCAAGGTAAGAAGAAGAAGAGAAGAAGAAGCTTCCACGCTGTTGTGCAGAAGCCTTTAATGGCGATTTCTTCTTCTCCTCCTCCTAGAACCCCCCATGCAACGAATCAAACCCCCCAAACTAAGCAACCATTCCAAAGAACCCATGAATCAAACGACAAAACATCCCAATCAAGCAATCGAATTTCCCCTGAATCAAACAAACAGAACCCTCTTTTAAAGCAGAGGATCCAAAATCTTAACCGAAACGCTTAATTGGAAAAAAAAAGGTACGAGGGCCAGGTTGAGCCACAACTTGCTCACATGCAGAATGCTTCCTCTTCCTCAACGAACCCAGGTCGAGCAACGAATCTCTCTTTCCCGTCACAAGACTGAAGACGGCAGACGAAGAGCAGTTTCATTAGTTGCGAGTGAGCCTCGAGGCTTGGACTAATAGTTGTCCTAGTTTAGGTGATTTTCTACGGGTCGGGTTACCCTCAGATTTCCAGTCACATTCTTCCCTTCGTTCGCCATCAAAGAACAGATCAATAGATCTGTAGAGAGAAGAAAGAGGAAAAGGGAAAAGGGAAGAAGATAGTAGACAATTGACAGGAAAGAGAAGAAGAGGAAAGGAAAGTGAGTCTCAATAGAGAGAGAGAAAGGGGAAAAGAAAATGTTATAATTGGAAAGGTTCCGTAAAAAACGAGTCAATTGACATTTCCTCCCCACCACCCAAATATTTGAGATTGACCCATAATGAAACAATTACAATTGCCCCCCTCCAAAATGTTTCGTTTTAGTTTTGGGCTGCCAAACGAGACAATTTGGCTCAATTGGCTCATTTTGAGTCAATTGAGCACAATTACCTCACTAGAAAGCTTCATCCAAACGACCCCTATATGAATTCATCACTCCATAAATCAAATTCATTTACCATCTCTAAATTTACAACTGCATAGTAGAACATCAACTCCACCCGCAAGAACCAATTTTCAAAATTTTCGTTAATGGGAGTATGCCAAGTCCAAACCAAAGAAGCCCTGACCTCCACAAAATGCAATCACCAATTTTTTGTCAAAGAACGCTACGCATTCTCGAGCAAGGACTGTCTCGGAGGAAGTTCACTCCTTTTTCTCTCTTTTTGAGTCACTATCGTGTAGTTTTGTTCCTCAGAATTTTAGCAAAGCAACCCTTGTAATGACAAATCAGACTCTTTTATTAGGAATCCACTTATATACGAATTACCGCTTTTGTAGGAGTCGTTTGGTATTGGTAATAGTTAAATAGATGTATTGTCATCAATGCATGCATAATAATATACATGTATATACGAAAATTGGTGTATTGTAGTTTATAGGGTTATAAGTATAATATGCCCCTTTACTATGACGTTTTATCAAACATGCCCCTCTACTATTTTTTATATCAAACATGCCCCTGTAATTTGGAAAAACTATCAAACATGCCCTTCAGTTGAAATTTCCATTGGAAAAATCGTCAATCATGGTTGAACCGAGATTTAGACGACCGGACATCGATAAATGGGAAGGGAAATGTCAGTTTTGACCCTTACTTTATTTCTCTAGGTCTCATCAAAGTGAAATTATTATAATTATTTGGCTATACAAAAGAACAAAAAAAATACTCTAAAGTGAAATTATTAGAGATATTTTAGCAAAAGGGCATGTTTGATAAGTTTTCCAAAGTACAGGGCATGTTTGATTTAAAAAATAGTAGAGGGGCATGTTTGATAAAACGTCATAGTAGAGGGGCATATTATACCTATAACCCTAGTTTATATTGTTTGGTTTTTATGATATTTATAGTGTTATTTAAATTTTTTATATTACTTTTGACTGTTTAATATAAAAAAGCAACACAAATAACAAGGTAAAGACATAGTTGGTAGAATAATTACATATTTTGTGTTGGGTTTTTACTTAAAAATATCGCCAACCCGACCCATCCCAATTAGAAACAAATCGTAGGATTTAATTTTTTTTGTATGAATTTGGATTTAATATTTTTCAAACCATAGTACATGGATCGGATGATTAAAATAGCCAAATCCAGACCACTCGTGTATACCTCTAATTATAACTACGTCTATGTGTCTAGGGGTGGCTATACGGTCCGGTTAAATTGGCCCAAATTGATCCGGTCCAGTCCGGTCTTTTTTAAAATATAAGGACCAAAGATTGGATCGGATACAGTCCGGTCTTGATCCGGTCCGGTCTTGACCCGGTCCGGTCCCAATTCGGTCTTGATTTTATATTGAGCTTGTGGGATTTGAGTGACCTAGGACCCGAAAGGATGAGGAGTTGGTTAAGTTTTGTACTAATTGAAAATGTTTGTGACCGTTTATGCAAATTACCCTTAAGTTTTGGGTGTTGAGCTCTCTTATCTGGTCTTTATCCAGTTTTTGATCCGGTCTTGAACGGTTTTTTTATCTCAAATCTAAACCTAAAGATTGGATTGATTGTTTACTATCCGGTCCCGATCCGGATTATACGATCTGGTTTCGGGTAAAACCAAAAAACTCGGACCAAATAGCCAACCTATATGTGTATATGTCTACCAAACAATATTTGTAATTGAGTTACGTGTCCTAAACACTCTGGGCTTGCATTTGGGGAAAAAAAGCCCTTGACGTTGAGCCGGTTGAGGCAGCCCCAGCTCCCAGCCCCAGAAGACCCAACCCGTCTATGCCTCATTTTCCCATCTCCACTCCCACAAGGCCACAACCCTTGGTTCCTTCTCTATCACTCTCTTCCTCTACAAAAAGCCGAGAATGAACCCACCGACCTGAACCTCCTCATCTTCTCCGGTCACGTTCCCTCCCAAACCCTAAAAGCAATCGCCCCACAAATCTGTAAGCCTTCTTCTTTCTCACTACTTCTCGACCGATCCGATTGCTTCCTCGCTCTTCTCGGTATGTTCATTTCCTCCCTTTTTCTGCATAATATTCGATGCTTCTCTGTCATCGGAGCTCTTTTTATTTCCTCAAGTAAGGTATCCCGAGCAATCTCTTAGCTGCTCTGTTTGATAGGCGAGAAAGCTCGGAGGAAAAATTTATAGGAAAATCAACCGCTTCGTACACTTTTGTTTGTTTCCAGCTGCCTTCTCGCGTTCCAGTTCTATATTCTTCTTCTTCTAGGGTTTCTTCTATCGGTGCATTAATTGTTTTGATGGTTAGCTGCGTGTTTTTAGCTTCAATTTTCCTACTGGTGAGATAATTCTGTCGTTGATTGGATGGAAATTAATTATGTGAATAGTCCACCTTTCTTTATGCTTCCTCGGAAGAGAGCTGGTGGAGGAGAGGTTGCAGTAGAAGGAGAAGGAAGACCTATCTGTAACGAATCGCTCATCAAGAAGCACTGCATCGAAACAACTGCGGCAGGCACGGGATCTCCAGCAACTGCCACCACCGCGGCCAACGTCAACACCAACAGCAGTAACTCAGGCAACGCCAGCAGTCACAGCAACACCAGCTCGTCGATCATGACTCTAGGAAACGGAAACCAGCAAGATATCGATGAGGATCTGCACAGCCGTCAGCTTGCCGTCTACGGCCGTGAGACTATGCGCAGGCTGTTTGCTTCCAATGTCCTCATCTCCGGGATGAATGGACTTGGCGCTGAGATTGGTAAGTAAGGCATGCTAATTTATCCGTTGTTCCAGTAGACGGAGTTGCTATTGTCCTATGGAACTGAATTTTGTTATCATCTTTGCCTGATTACTGATTTTGATATTATCTGTAACTGTTTAGCGCTGATCTAGAAGTTGTACCACATTATTGGTCTTGTACACCTGTTGAACATAGAGATTTTGGCTGCATTGACTATTGTCATCATCTAGGGCTCATAAGACTTCATTGACCGATAATTTTGTGGTGTCTCTTGCAGCGAAGAACCTGGCTCTTGCTGGAGTCAAGTCTGTGACCTTACATGATGAAGGAGTGGTTGAGTTGTGGGACTTGTCTAGCAATTTCGTCTTTGCAGAACAAGATGTTGGAAAGAACAGGGCTCTTGCTTGTATTCAGAAGCTACAAGAACTAAACAACTCCGTTTTGATATCCACTTTAACTGGCCCACTCAAGAAGGAACAACTATCTGATTTTCAGGTAATGGTTCTTTGTGTCCTTTTGATGATGCTTCTCTTAGATTGGAATGAATTTGATAATTAAATGCTTTCAGTTATTTTACTAAACGGAGGATACTTTATTCGCAAGGTCATTCCTGTTGCATATTCGTGCATGAGCTGATATCCAATATTAGATATAGGCTGTTACCAATAGAAGGGGTTTGTTTATGGTTTCAGGCTGTTGTATTCACTGATCTCAGCTTAGACAAGGCAACTGAATTTGATGACTACTGCCACACTCATCAACCTCCCATTGCTTTTATCAAGTCTGAAGTCCGGGGCCTCTTTGGTAGTGTGTTCTGTGACTTCGGCCCTGAATTCACTGTTTTTGATGTTGACGGCGAGGATCCCCATACGGGCATTATTGCTTCTATCAGCAATGATAACCCTGCCCTTATAGCTTGTGTTGATGACGAGAGGGTGGAGCTTCAAGATGGTGATTTAGTTGTTTTCTCCGAGGTCGATGGTATGAGTGAACTCAATGATGGAAAGCCAAGGAAGGTTAAGAATGCCAGACCGTATTCATTTAACATTGAGGAGGACACAACGAATTATTCTACCCATATCAAAGGTGGCATTGTCACTCAAGTGAAGCAACCAAAGGTTTTGAGCTTTAAGACTTTGCGAGATGCAATCAAGCAACCTGGGGATTTCCTTTTGAGCGACTTCTCCAAGTTTGATCGTCCGCCTCTCTTGCACTTGGCATTCCTGGCACTGGATAAGTTTGTTGTTGAGTTGGGCCGTTATCCAGTTGCTGGGTCAGAGGATGATGCCCAGAGATTCATATCATTGGTTAATAATATCAATGATAATGCTGGTGATGAGAAGCTTGAAGCAATCGACAAAAACGTTCTTCGCCATTTTGCTTTTGGTGCAAGAGCTGTACTGAATCCTATGGCTGCCATGTTTGGTGGTATCGTTGGACAGGAAGTTGTTAAGGCTTGCTCTGGGAAATTCCACCCACTATTCCAGGTAATTTATGTATTTCACCCCCTTCTCTTCTTAAAAGTTATATTTCTTGCTTGAGGGTAAGCCTTGGTACTACAGATAATCCTTGAATGCAGTTTTTGTCTCTTTCTAGTGATGTAGTGTTACACATACTGACTTGCCTGCACTCTTTTGCATGTCACGTGGACAGTTTTTTTACTTTGACTCGGTTGAGTCTCTTCCAACTGAGCCCTTGGATCCCAATGACTTGAAGCCCTTAAACAGTCGTTATGATGCTCAAATTTCAGTTTTTGGGGCAAAGCTTCAGAAGAAGCTTCAGGATGCGAAAGTGTTTATTGTTGGCTCTGGTGCCCTTGGTTGTGAGTTTTTGAAGAACTTAGCTTTGATGGGGGTCTCATGTGGGAAACAAGGGAAGCTCACAGTTACGGATGATGATGTTATTGAAAAGAGTAACCTTAGCAGGCAATTCCTGTTCCGAGATTGGAACATTGGACAAGCCAAATCAACTGTTGCTGCGTCTGCTGCATCTCTGATAAACCCTAATTTCAATATTGAAGCTCTGCAGAACCGTGCAAGTCCTGAAACTGAATCTGTGTTTGATGATACATTCTGGGAGAACCTGACTGTGGTGATCAATGCCCTTGACAATGTGAATGCTAGGCTTTACATTGATGGTAGATGCTTGTACTTCCAGAAGCCACTTCTTGAGTCTGGAACCCTAGGTGCCAAGTGCAACACTCAAATGGTCATCCCACATCTGACAGAAAATTATGGTGCCTCACGTGACCCGCCTGAAAAGCAAGCCCCAATGTGCACTGTTCACTCATTCCCTCACAACATAGACCACTGCTTGACATGGGCTCGTTCTGAATTTGAGGGTTTGCTTGAGAAGACTCCTGCAGAGGTAAATGCCTTCCTGTCAGCTCCCAAAGAGTATGCCTCTGCAATGAAAAATGCTGGTGATGCCCAGGCAAAGGACAACTTGGAACGTGTTCTTGAATGCCTTGAGAAGGAGCGATGCGTAGAGTTCCAGGACTGCATCACTTGGGCTCGTCTGAAGTAAACATTCGAATCTGTCTGTCTATTGGATTTTATTTCAGCAAAACTGATTGTTTTACATCTCTTCTAACTACCCTACATTACATGTATGTTTCAACTTGCAGATTTGAGGACTACTTTGTCAACCGTGTGAAACAGCTTACGTTTACTTTTCCTGAAGATGCATTAACTAGCAGTGGAACCCCGTTCTGGTCTGCTCCCAAGCGTTTCCCTCGCCCTCTTCAGTTCTCGACTGATGATATGAGCCACCTACATTTTGTCATGGCTGCAGCCATCTTACGTGCAGAGATCTTTGGGATTCCACTGCCTGATTGGCTCAAGGCTCCGGCCAAGATAGCTGATGCTATTAACAGAGTCATAGTCCCAGATTTTGAGCCGAAGAAGGGTGTAAAGATTGAAACAGACGAGAAAGCAACAAATGTTCCTACCTCATCAATCGATGATGCAAAAGCTATCGATGAGCTGGTTTTGAAGTTGGAAACATGCAGGGAGCGGCTAGAGCCTGGATTCAAGATGGCTCCCATTCAATTTGAAAAGGTCTGTTAGATTCTTCGCTCTCATGCAATCAATTCAAACTTGTTGGTAATCTACCTTCTGGTTTCCACATTTGCTGCATTTGGAATGGGCTTGCACATTTCCGATTGGATCCTTGTCCATGGCATTTCACTTCACTCACGTTATATATTTGTTATTACACACAGTGCACTAGATGATAATGGTAGTGAAACATCCCTTTCGAATATGAGATCTGAATATGGCCAGGGCATCCTGCTTAGATGTTGCTGCTCCTGTAAGGTTCCTTGTTTCTATGTTGTGTTGACTTGCTGACCTTGTAAAAAACTTGGAAAATGTTGGCCTTTGTAGGATGACGACACGAATTATCACATGGACCTGATAGCTGGACTGGCCAACATGAGGGCAAGGAACTATGGCATTCCAGAAGTGGACAAACTCAAGGCCAAGTTCATTGCCGGCAGAATCATACCAGCAATTGCAACATCCACCGCCATGGCAACCGGTCTCGTCTGCCTGGAGCTTTACAAAGTTCTGGATGCACAGCACAAGCTGGAGGACTACAGAAACAGCTTCGCCAATCTAGCCCTCCCTCTCTTCTCCATCGCGGAGCCAGTTCCACCGAAGGTGATCAAGCATCAGGAGATGAGCTGGACTGTGTGGGATAGATGGATTGTGAAGAACAATCCAACTCTCAAGGAGCTTCTCCAGTGGCTGCAGGAGAAGGGGTTGAACGCTTACAGTATCTCTTACGGAAGCTGCCTGCTGTACAACAGCATGTTCCCGAGGCACAGAGACCGAATGGATAAGAAAATGGTTGATCTCGCTCGGGAAGTTGCGCGTGCTGAGCTGCCTCCTTACCGACGCCACTTTGACGTCGTGGTTGCTTGTGAAGATGACGAGGATAACGACATCGACATCCCGCAGATCTCTATTTACTTTTAGGTAGATCCCTTTTAGAAACCAACCGGGAAAAGAATACTACTAGAAGATCCCCCTGGTGGAGACTGGGGAGGCGAAAGCCGTTCTGTGGATACACATCCCAGAGAGAGTTATCAATTTTATGAACAGTTGGACAGTTTTATATCTGCTTCTCTTGTGTTGTGTGGTGTTTTCGTCTTATGTTTTCGGCTGTCCCCTAGGTGAAAGAAGTGTGCTCTTTCACTGGAAGATGTAAGACGTTTTTATGTTCTTTGCTGCTCTTCTCATTCCCGCTCGAGAAACAGAAATTTGAACATGTCTCGATAAATTGGTTGTTTACGCAGCTTCTCGTAGCAAGATATACATGAAAACTGGCATGAGAATAAGATATTCCATGATATTCACTTGGAATGTACAACTGTTTGCTGCGGCGATAAGATTCTCGCTTGTGTTCTGTAGTGCTTCTATTCATATTTGCTCTCCGAGTTCTTGTGCTTAAGTCCCAAAAGTTTAAGTATGTTTAAATCAATCTTACTGGCTCTTTGTAAGCTCCTTGTAAATCAGGTAGCTAATGAAGAGTTATTAGTTAGAAAGTAGTTAAGGGTATTCAGGTCAATTATGTATTTTCCTTATTTAAAATTTACCTTAATTCCATGATGAAGGAAAATTAAACGTCAACCCTAAAACACATAAAGCCGCTAGTTAGGTTTTTTATTTTATTTATTTCGGCGATCTTCCTCCCAGCACTCTCCCGTCTTCGACCAAGCGACTTTTGACCATATGACTTTCGACCATTCCCTTTCCTTTTTGTCGTCGTGTTCCCCTTCCTTCTACAAACATTAAGTAAGCCCTAAGCCTCGATGGAGGCTGCATAAAACCTTGGGCTGTTGTAGGAGTTGACGTTGTTGATACTCGGACATTTTTTTATCTACTTACCTTGCATGCAGGAATGGAGCCATGATTTAAAGTGAGGGTGCCGATTTTTTTTTTACAAAGAAATGTGTCCGTAAATTCTTGAAAAACATTCAAAAAATAACCAATTTACGGGAAAAAATAAAATTTTATTTCAATGAATATTTAAACTATAAATAATAATATATACTTTTTTAATCTCTCAAGTCACTAATATATTTATGGTTTAGAGTATTTTGTTTCTTGTTATGAAAATGTAGTTCATTTAACAAAAGAGAATGTAATGAAGAATTGAATTTTTGAAAGATTGATGATATTTTGGATACATAAATAAAAATTAAGCTAAAGCGGGTATTAACAAGGCATTCCAAAAAAGAATGCAGGAGTCCTCTCATTCGCCATTCACGAGAGCTTAATTATGCCAACATACTTACCAGTTACCACTTAGACTATTGTTGGGGGTATACGAATAAGGAGGCCCCGATATATGGATGAGGCCCGTTAAAGGGTGTGAAGCCCAAACAGTCCGAGGAAGGGTGAGCCCATTCAAGATGGGGTAGGTCATGATAGGCGCCTTCGGGCTTAGATCAAGAGCAAGTTGGGAGTTGCATACACTAGGCGCCTAGGGGTACTCGCACAATAGGTGCCTAGGTAGGCACTTGGGAATTGTGGGCACACGAAGAGGGCGCCTGGAGTCATCTTCGGAGGAGGCGCCCTGGGTCACCCGCATTAAATGTAGGGCTGACGTGGAAATCCGTACGAGAAGGTCTAGGTAAGCAGTAATTGGCTATAAATAGGGAGGTGGGTAAGCATTTACTCAATTTGGCTTCCCTCACTAACCATTGTGCATTACAAGCACTTCTCTCTCTAAGAAAGATACTGACTTGAGCGTTGGAGGACTAACGGGCCACAAGGCCCACCTCTGTGAGTGCAGGCTTCATTGGGAGGGAGTCAGCTGGTACGGAAGAAGAGTTGGCCGATCGAGAGGGCTTCAACAATTGGCGCGCCAGGTAGGGGAGAACACAACCTGAAAGCGCCTAGTTTCAATGGAGGGTGGAAGCGAGATGGAGGAGCAACACATGGGGGAGGCGTCTCAAGAAGCAGGAGGAGGAACGCCCAGCATGGGGGAGGATGAGGGAAGTGAAGACCCGCGCATGGATTCGGATGGGGCCTCGGTGACTAAGAAGGAACTGTTCAAGATCATAGCCGATCAAGACGAGGCCATTGGGATGTTAAGGAGAGAGGTGGAAATGTTGAAGGAGGGCGCCCCAAGTCCCGGAGCAAGGAAGAGGGAGCGTACGATGGAAGCTGAAGGGGAGTCCAGCTCGCTGAGGCGCCTTGCCAGCATGAGGCGCCTGGCTGATTACGGAGATTCGGAGGGAGAGAGGAATGTGTGGATGCCGGGGTGCCCACATCGACAGTTTGTGGTAAGGCAACCTTTGGCCCGGGGCGTGCTCATGGAGCCCGCTAGTACCAACATTCCGCCGCTTCCCACCTATGATGGTACGGCGGACCCGGACGACCACCTCAACAGCTACTTCACCAAAATGCAGCTGTACAACAGTTCGGACGCAACTTTATGCAAGGTGTTCCCCTCCACATTCTCAGGCGTCGTATTAGATTGGTACCATCAGATCGAGTAAGGGCGCATAGAATGCTTTGAGCAGTTTGCGGCGATGTTCCTGGCTAAGTTCGCAAGTAGAAAGAGGCGCACACTGACCGTGGGCTCACTATTCAAGATCAAGCAGAAGGAGGGAGAAACCTTGAGGGAGTTCTATGAGCGATGGATCCCGGTGGCCATGGCGGTGAGAGATGTGCAGCCCCCGGTGCTTGGAGTCCTCCTCGAGGAGTGCACCACCAGTGAGGAACTTTGTCGGGCGCTAGCTAAAAGGGATGCAGTGTCTACGGAAGATTTGGATCGAAGGGTGCAGAAAGTTATAGTGTTAGAGGAGGCGCTAGCGTCAAGACGGGCCGACACGTGCCGCCCTAGGGGAGAGGAAGGAGATGGACGAAGGCAGGCGCCCGAGTCAAGGCCTTTCTATGGAGGAGCATCGGTCCCACCGGTGCGGAGGAGTGATCAGGGGCGCCCGGCGCCTAAAGTGAATCAATTCACGGAGCTTAACGACTCGCCAAAGAACGTGTTGCAATATGTGAAGGATAAGGGGTACCACGTGAGATGGCCAGGGCCTATGAGGGGGCAACCCAACCCACAGAACCTGGATCGATTTTGTGACTTCCATCGAGAGCGGGGGCACAATACAGTTGATTGCTACCAGTTGAAGACTGAATTTCAAGGATTGGTGGACAGGGGCATGCTTAACGAGTTCGTCAAAAAACCGGAAGAGAGGGTGCATAGGGCATATGTGGCCCGTTCGGGGCCCAAGGAGGATCTCCCCCCGCCTCCGTTCGAGCTGGACCAGGAGAAGGCGCCTGAAAAGGTGAGGCTTACGGTGGACGCGATTACTGGCACCGGAGATTTGAGAGAGAAATTGGAAGCTAACAGGCGCCTAAGAGCAGCATCGGTTGATCGACACGAGGGGGTGTGCATTAGTTTCAACCAGGTGCCTGATGAAGCTTATGGGATACCTTCCTTAGAGGCGCTGGAAATTCAAGGAATAGTGGCGGGGTGCATGGTGAAAAGGATGCTTGTGGACACGGGGAGTTCCATGGACGTGCTGTTCAAGGATACGGTAGCGCGCATGCACTTGTCTCCTGACTTAATACGACCGTCGGACTCGATGCTCGTCGGGTTCTCAGGGGCGCCCGCGAAGGTAATAGGGCGCGTGCGCCTCCCTGTTACTTTGGGCGACGAAGAGCAGCGGGTCACCCATGCTATCGATTTTGGGATTGTGGATTGCCCCTCCCCCTACAATGCTATACTCGGCAGGCCCCTTTTGGCCTTGTTCAATGGGGTGGCGTCCACTTGTCATCAGACGTTGAAGTTCATAGCGCCGAAGGGAGTGGGCATCGCAAGAGGAAGAGGCGCCCCCATTTATACTATGCTTAAGAGCGTGCGACCGCGTAAAAGTCAAAGGATCAATGCGATTACTTCCGAAGAGGCGCCTAGAGCGGAGGCGGCCGACGAAGAATTGCTGATCCCCCTGGATGAGGAGCGACCGGAAAGGCTGATCAGGATTTCGGTCCAGGCGCCTCCCGAAATGGTCGAGAAGTTGGTCGCTCTGTTGAAGGAGTTCGCGGAGTTGTTCGCGTGGAGTGCTAAAGAAATGCCCGGGGTAGCGCCTGAGACGGCTGTGCATAAGTTGGCAGTTGAGGAAGGGAGGAGGCCGGTTCAGCAGAAGAGAAGTAAACTTTCCCAAGAAAAGGAGGCCCTGCTTAGGGTAGAAGTGGATAGGCTCCTAGGCGCCGGGTTTGTTGAGGAGGCAACCTATGTCACGTGGTTATCCAATGTGGTGTTTGTCCCCAAGCCAGCAGGAGACTGGAGGATGTGTGTGGATTTCACGAGTCTCAACAGGGCGTGTCCGACGGACGCATACCCGATGCCCCGCATAGACCTGCTAGTGGACGCCACAGCTTATCATGAGATGCTCAGTTTCCTCGACATGTTTTCCGGGTACCATCAGATCCCTATGGCTGAAGAGGATCGGGTGAAGACCGCCTTCATGACGCCCTTCGGGAACTTTTGTTATAGGGTCATGGCATTTGGACTGAAGAATGCGGGCGCCACATATCAACGCATGGTGAATACAGTCTTCCAACGGCAGATTGGGCGGAACGTGGAGGCATATGTAGACGATTTGATAGTCAAGAGTCGCGAGCGGGGAGATCACCTAAGGGATTTGAGGGAGACCTTTGAAACCATGCGCCTTCACAATCTTCGGCTCAACCCCCTGAAATGCGTCTTCGGCGCGGAGGCAGGCAAGTTTTTAGGCTTCATGATCACCAAGAGAGGAATTGAAGCAAACCCGAAGCAAGTGGAGGCCATCATCAAACTTGCACCACCAAGGACGCCTAAGGAAGTACAAGGCCTAGCGGGGCGACTCGCAGCCCTGGGGCGCTTCATACCAAGGTCGGCCGACAGAGCGGCCCCCTTCTTCAGGATCCTAAAGAAAGCGGTTCGTTTCCAATGGGATGAAGCGTGTAGCGAGGCGTTCGAAGAACTGAAGCGCCTACTGGCGGCGCCCACGGTCATGACGGCACCCAAGGCCGGGGAGGTCCTGTATTTATACATTGCGGTCTCGGACGTGGCGGTTAGTGCGGTACTAGTGTCCAAAGAGGCGCCTACGGGGGAAGAGAGGCCGGTGTACTATGTGAGCAAGACGATGGGCCCACACGAGAAGCGGTACGTGCCTATTGAAAAGGCTGCTTTGGCAGTCGTGACAGCCGCTACCAAGTTACGCCCCTATTTCCAGGCGCATGCGATTGTTGTGCTCACCAATTTACCTCTCAAGTCTACACTAGGCTCCATGGACGTGGCTGGGCGCCTTGTTAAATGGGCCGTTCAGCTGAGCGAGTTCGACATCCGGTACGCGCCTCGACCGGCCATCAAAGCACATGTGATTGCCGATTTTATGGCGGAGGGAATAGTGAAGACTGAAGGGGTCGACCAAGAGACGTGGCAAGTTCAAGTGGACGGGGCGGCGAGCCGCGTGGGCGCCGGGGCAGGAATTGTGATTATTAGCCCAAGCGGGGTCATGCATGAGATTGCTCTACGGTTCTCAGAAC